TATCTGTATGAGCGCTCAACCTCGCACGGCGAGATCAAATTCGCCTATATAAGTACTTATCCCATTGAGCGCATCAAGACAATGACTCCGCTTTGGTATGTGTTCAGCCAGGGCGTGGACATTGTGTTTTCGCTCTTTATTATGAATGCCAGCCTGGGCACTGACATCTGGATGATGTGCATCGCTGGCCAGCTGAGCTTGCACTTTGACCACTTGGGCAGACAATTGCAGGGTTACAGTCCGAGCAGACGAAACGGGCCAAAGGATTGCGAATTCTTGGCCAGCATTGTGCGCAAGCATCAGCTATTATACATGTGAGTTTTTCAGATAAATGATATACTAGATATACCTAATGATATGGCATACTTAATATTAGATTACATAAGGAACTCAATGATATATTCGGCATGCTGTTGGCCTATAATATATTTAGCACGGCCATCACACTCTGCTGCATTGCCTTCTACACATTGTTACAGGGCATAACTCGGGAGGGAATTGGTTTCTCTTTGTTCTTCATCAGCATTTCCGCTCAGTTCTATATGGTTTGCTACTATGGCCAGCTACTAATTGATATGGTAGGTCCACTCACTTATGTTCTATGATATTTATTATGATTGTTTCGCCTTATGCAGAGTGAACACGTTGCCGTGGCTGCCTACACACAAAATTGGTATAACGGCTCGTCCACCTACCAGAAGCATCTGCTCCTCATCATGCAACGAGCGCAGAGGCCGGCAGAGCTCTCAGCAAAGGGTGTGATTATTATATCAAGGGAAACATTCACGAGTGTAAGTTGTTGGCAGCATAAGATCTTGTATAATACTAAAAGCTATCTCAATTCTCTAGATGATGAACATTACATATAGATTTTTTACGGTTATACGCAGAGTTCTTCTAGTTGAAACTAGAAGTTCCAATTAGGCTCTACACTCTATAAGACATGTGCATAATGTATAAAATATTCGACTCTTAGACTATTACAGACTAAATGCTGTTTGATCGGTCTTTAAACAGTTGCCCTGACATTTCATTCAATTTGCATTAAAATCACATTATTTTAGATTTAAAACAACAACACCTCGAGTTGCAAAAAGACGGATTAGCATCAATTATCATCTCAGGGTCATCTTGATATGCAGTTGTTACACTTATATCCGCACTAGAATCCGTCCCTTGACCATGACAGCCTCGTCTGGGACTTGCTGCAAGTTCTATTCTCCAGTAGCTGAAGATTCTTGCTGTGACCCAAGCCACTGACATTTAAGCAACTCGTTCGACAGCATCAACAATGATTCGCTTGTGTGAAGAAAATGCTAAAGTATTACTTTATTGAATTATTATGTATATTGTGATTTTTTATTAAAGTGTAATTGAATTTGTAATCAGTTTTTTGTTCACATATGCAATAATTCTTCAACCTTATTAAGCAGAAATATAATTAAGTGTTAATTTTCCATCTTAAAGAATGAATGACAAATCCATTTTTGTATTATAAAATTTAATTAAAAATTATTCTTTTAATGTGTAAATATTTTTATTTTTCCTCTTTAAATTTGAATAAAATTTGATTGGGCATATTACGAATTGTTTTGTAAGTCATAAAATCCGCATATATGTCTGAGTTCTAAGCCACAAACGACTTGATGAGAACTTAGAGGAGGGGCGCGGGTGGCACTAGCCGTTGCACTTTTGGCCTTCACATTTCGCGTGCGGCTTGACAGAATTTCAACCAAGTCAAATTGTGTGCAACAATAGCTGAGATTGCAACACCATAGCACAGCACAGCACAGCACAGTAGCTAACGACAACTCGAATACTATAGACCCAACTTACTCACGAGTAATTATAATAGAGATTCCCATTGACTCCAATATTGAATATTTAATCAATAAGAGGAACTAAACGAGCTACAAGTAATTTAAATATTCACTAAGTAATACTTTATATATTATTAAAATGAAAAGCCTTAAGACTGTCCCAATTTCTAGCATAACACCTAACAGTTATTTTGTATTTAATTGATATTGAGCATCGAGTTTCTAAATTTGAATAATTTCAAATCAACATACATAATAAAATTGTATTGCCGACAAATCGAAATACGAGCCAGCTCCGCTGTTGATATATTTGATATTCTGTATAATTAACACTAATTGCCATTAAGTATTCCTCCCACACACTCGGCGCCAACTCGACACGCTGTGAGTTCCACTGACATATAACATTTATGAGTTAATTTGCATATCGAAGACTCACCTTCGCCTTCAGCGTGCCAGCCAAAGATGCACAGACGGATTAACATCAATACGAAGAATACGAGGCGGGCTTTGCTTAATGCCAGCCCAAAGTGCAATCAGTGCATAGTTTAGCATAATTAAGAGCCAATCTGTTCTAGAGCGCCTATCACCTACAAGTTCAATATCTTTCATTGAGCCACAGCTGTAATTCGAGCTGACCAGAGCCATGCAGCTTGGCCTAACTCCTTGACCATGAATTCTTCCCAGTTGAACACTGTTAAATGTAGTGCGACTGCTCTGCTTAGCTGCACCAGATCAGAGCAGAGCCTAGCTCAACTCAACTCGGCTGGCAGTAGCCAGAGCTTCTCGACATGACCAAAACCACTGACATTTAAGCACAGCAACTGGTTCGACTGCTGACACGGCATCTGCTATTTGCAATTATTTATTTATGCCTGCATTGACATTAGCATTAGCATGGCTGCTGCTGCTGCTGCCAAGCGGCCAGAGATGGGCGCCGAAAACTATGCCGGCCATGTCCAGCCGTTTAGGTCTAGACGAAGTCGAGCCACGCCACTTTGGGACTCTTACGCAATGGATTATCAATAGTTGTAATATTTTTTTTCCTAGCCACAGGGGGGTGCGAGGAGTGGCACTAAGAGCTATAACAAATTGCGTTTGACGCCATAAAAAAAGACGACACGACCTTCAAGGCCAACCAGACGTAGCCATAAAGCGCTGCACAGCGCGTGTCAAAGTCAGTGGATGAAGATGGAGCTGCGGTTGCAGCTGGAGATGAGGCATATGTTCTAGGCTTTATGGCCAGCCGGCCAGCCAACTGACATTTTGCAGCGATTGCTGCTTGAATAGCTAATTAGAGAAGCCATGCGTAATAATTCAAGGTTCATACTTGCCAAAAAAAAAAAATATATATATATATATACATTTTAAAGTATTAAACATGTTTTTATTTTATAAATCAAAAGACTTAGGCAACGAACTTGCTAGCTGAGAATCTTTGTACGCTAAATGGGAAGATGTTGCTGTTGCGTAATTCAAAATAAACCCATTAAAAGAGACCATAATAAATATTAAAATTAATGCAGTTGAATGTCTTCATAATTATAAAGCACTGCCTAACACTACTCAACGGGCAATAACAATAGACCAGGCCCCAAAAACTAGAAGGCAGCAACTTTTTCAAAGCTTCCACTAACTGGCAATTGTTTTGCTGATTGCCACAGTCTGAGCACGGCAATAGCAACAAACACTACTTGGAATACAATATGGCAACAATCTTTGGGACAATCTTGTCACGAAATTCTGTCGCCGTCTGCGCTTGTGTCCCCATCTGCCTGCCCCAGCGCCAAGTCGACCCAAGCTATTCATTAGACGCGCCTACACTTTGGCAGCAGCAGCAGCCGCAGCAGCAGCGACGTCGGCGGCGTTCGTTGTCGACTCTTCGCGTTTAGCAATTTTTGGCATTTTGACCCCAGCACAATGCATACAGACGTGTACCAAGACAGACCAACGACATGCCCTGAGCTCAAATTTGGGCGCACCGTGATCAAAGATCGAAAATGAATGCGAAAGAAATAGTTCGTAAGAAGCTAGCTATACTATATAGAAATAAAACATGCTAATTGAATTCCATGAAGCTAATTATTAATATAAAAAATCCGCTTTGTTCCTTAATAAACCATTTATTTTATATGGCAGCTATAATATTTTAAATTCTTTTTTAACTGAGCCAAAGACTTGGGTGTTTATGGAAGACTGCAAACCTGTTTTGAACCTACAGCGATTCAGATCCGGAAACTAAATTACTTTTGCCTAAAATTAAACTAGTTATGCCAATTTGAAAGTTGAGATCTGGGGAACATCTGGTCTCTGCAATTTATGTAGGCTTTTATCTAATTTAAGCACTAAAAACTATTATTATCCCACTGTGCACATGCGCTGTCGGCGCTGCCTGACTTTGATTGTATTCGCCGATTATTAGCTACGTATTGAAATGCAATTTTTTTCGCTTATTCGCTTGCCCAAGACAAACTAAAAAAAAAAAAAGAACAACCTAAATTTAAGCTCTGCAGCCTGCTCTAGGCAAACTAACAATGCCGCGAGGGCGATGTCGTCGATTAGTGAGCTGCTTTATGGTTTCCGCCACTGTTTGATGCACCTGCCGTTGACAAACGAGCTCACATACCTGCTGATATCTCATATATCTCTGCTGCAGCTATTTGCTATTCGCCTATTATGACGCTGACCAAAGGGCGTGCTGCTGATGTAACTGTAGCCGCTCTGACTAGGGGAAATCAATGCAAAATCATTTATACGCAATTGCATAAAAAATGTTTTGCATTTGGTTCTCAATTGCACAGAACAGCTGAGTCGGACTGGCCAGAGGCGTATGCCCAGAGGGGTTTGCCGACAGCCACGGCGGTTTTCACTCACCTGTGCTGCGCTTGCGATTTTCCAGCACAAATGTTGTCGTCGTTGTCGTTGTCGTTGCCGAATGCAGCTGCTGCGGCTGCTCTTTTCAAACAACGCCAGCTTCGACTGCGACGCTAGCGTTGGCAGCACCAACAACTACGACGAATCTTTACTTTAGTTTATATATATATATATATATTTGTTGTTGCTTTTTTTGCATCTTGCATGTGCGATGCTTTGCCCGCTGAATTTGCAGCTTCGTCGCAGTCATCGGCGCCGTCTTTGGGCTTTTCGTATAAATAGACTCAGCTGCCGGCACTTGGGCATCATTAAAAAATCTTTTGTTCAATTAACAACAAGTGTGAAGTGTGGTGTGCCGATCGCTGAAAAGGATAAGCCCAACTTTGGATTACATTACCGAATCACATAAAACAACATGAAGAACGTAAGTGAGCGAAGGAACGTAAAGGAACATTTCAAACGAATATCAAAGATCATATAAATACTGTCTATATTTGTGTAAAAAAATGTGTGACTTCAGTTTGATGAACATAAATCATCAGATAGAGTCCTTCGGCTATCAAATATAAATAATTCTTCTGTAGAGCAGAAAATGGAATTTATAAAAATATTTAAGAAATTCAATTTAAATCCAATTTGAAATGAATTGAAGTGCTGAAAATATTTGCATCGTTAGGAACACAGAATATAATTTATTACAAAAATCACGGGATATATGTATGTATATTTAATATAAAATCTGTGCTATATTAACTGCTAGAGCTTGAAAACTATTTTTAGCTTAGCCCATGTGCTAGTAGAGCAGCTAGACTAACTATTATAATTATTATGCGCGCTATTCATCTATTTATTCTAGTCAATCTCTTTCTTGCAATGACTTAAATCAAAAGACTTAGGCAACAAACTTGTTAGCTAAAGTATTTGTAATACGTCGAACAACAAATAAAATTAATGCAATAGAGCACTTATACAATTGTACAAAAGTGCTAGCCACTGACAGACAAATCTTCTGCCAATACCAACTGAAATCAGCGGAGCTTAATAAAAAACCATCAAATTTCGGATTTCGAAATATGCGAAAATAAAGGAGGCCCTTATATGCGTAAAATTGGCATTTACAACACAGTCGTAAATCAATCAGCATACAATTTAAAAGCCCAAAACAATATACATAAAAATAACTTGTGGCAGAAGGCCACAGCGCCTCAGTTTAAAGTGTTGTTTCCGCGTTGGTTTATTTACCAATTGTTATAGCCATTTGGGGCTAACAAATGGGCAAAAGTCGTTGGCAAGCCCGGCCGAAATGGCAACAGCAATTAATGAATGCCGGAGACGAGGCAACCACTTAAAAGGCTCGAGCACGATGCCAAACCAAGCCAAATAACATGCAGCCGGCATGCAATGCAAAGGTCAGACAACAGCTAAACATCCACACCAACTGTGCGACTGGACAAGCAGAGGCTGAGACTGAAGCTGAAGCTGACGCTGACGCTGGGGCACGCTGGGCTGAGGCTGTAAGACATTTGCTTAACAAACTGCTGGCGACGAATGTTACGCTCAGTTGGCAGCTGTCTATCTGGCCAAGCTAAAGTGAAACATAAAACACGTAACTTACTCGTCCATTGGCAATTGCCAAAGCGCGCAGAGCCCAGGCTGTACTTTAAGTAGGACAGATAGACAGAGTCACCGCCTTTAGGCTTAGTTGCGACACGAGCATATAACATATAAACACCCAACTGGGGTAGAAGAAGAAGCAGATGGGCAATCAGCACTTCTTTCAGCAGATTTCTAATATTAACGGCCTTACGATGAATTGCCTTTATATTTATAATAGTCTACCCATTTGTTGCCTTTTATCTTTCGTTTTGGCTCACGCACGACTCATTCAATCTCATCTCCAATCTCCACGCCCCACAATTTTCCATACATTCGTGCGATAATTGCTTTAAGCACATACGTAAACTGAAAATTTTATGTGTAAAAAATTTAATTGGCGTCTAGTTATTGGTCGACCTTAAGAAATCTGTGGCAAATTGACATGTGTCTATCCGCTCGACACTCCGACCAGGTCTATCTGGCTGTAAACATTATTATAAGCGAGAACAATGTAAACAAGAGTCATAAATCAAACAACTATGCGAAACGATGAGCCGAGTTTCAACACAAGTAACAAAATAACACAAAAATTTACATAAGACAAAAAAAAAAGCAGACGAAAAACTGTAGAAAAAAACAACAGCTCACGATTTTTGTTCAAAGCGAGTCTAGTGTAATTGCGCTCGTTATTTATAAACAATTGCCAATTTACAATTAACTTGAATTGAATTAATTTCCGTTTCGTACTTAACCCATTTGCAGTTTGCCCTTTGCCTGTCCGCTGCTGCGCTGCTCTGCCTGGTGAATGCAGCCCCAAAGCCCCAGGGTGGCGAGCCCATTGCGATCATTAGCCAAGAGTCCAATATCGAGCCGGATGGTGCCTACAATTATGCGTAAGTCAAGAACCGCCCAAGTCTAATGAGTAATAGAGAATTGAACCAGCTATGAACTAGCAGTTCGCCAACGGAACTAGCTACATTTTGTAAAAAAAAGTGTTGCCTACTTTCAGGCATTTTTTAAAATAGAACAAAAGCAGCGCTGACTTGTTTATGAGATTTTTCTTGGATAAATCTTAGATAAATAAAATTCAGCAAACTATCGGGAATGAATTTTAATTTAGATACCATAGAACATAAAGGTATAAAATTCAATAATTCTTCATTAAAATTTCTATAACTAATTTATGATAAATACCATCAATTTCTGTTAACAATGTATTCAAATCTGTTTGCGCGTCTAATATTTATGTTGTTAATACCAAAATTAAAGCATCATTTAAGTTGTTTCAGTCTTTGGTTCTCCAACCTAATCCAATCATAAATAGATAAAAAAAATATATATATGTATATATGTAAATTTGTTATAAATTTATTAACAGAAACATTTGCATCGGTTAACAAGTTAAATGTTAATAACAACATAAATAAATAAATAAACAGCTAGACTGGCGCCTCAGATACAAATGAATAGTGCCATAAAAAAAGACAAAACAAATTTGAAAGAAGAACGCAGAATTAATACTCTTTCAATAAAAAAATAAATTAGTCTTTGCTCTCTAGAGATTAAGTTAAATACACAAAAGTTGATCTCTCACCGGTCTGATTAATCATTGGAAGTGTGGTCAGAGACCAGTTTCGTTGGCAGATGTTGACCCAAAAATTTGATTCGCTGGCATCACTTGTTTAGCTATGAAATTATAATACTTCAGGCTAGAGTATTCATTTAAATTTTTCACAGCTTTCAAGGTCAATTAGGTTCGAATTGCAATTGCTAAAAAAATTAACAATATAAACGAGAATAAAACTAACGAATTTCTGAAACATTTCAGCTACGAAACGGCTAATGGAATCAAGGCCGAGGAAACTGGAACTGTAAAGAAGGCCACATCGCCGGACTCCACGGATGTGATCATTGTCAAGGGCTCCGTGTCCTACACCTCACCCGAGGGCGAGCTGATCACTCTCAACTATGCGGCCGATGATGAGAATGGTTTCCAGCCACAGGGCGCGCATTTGCCCACTCCTCCACCAATCCCACCAGCGATCCAGAAGGCGCTCGACTATCTGCTCAGCCTGCCCCCAGCACAGCGTCGTCGTTAAGATGAAGATGGAGTTTATTTAGGGAAAAATTGACCTGGCTAACGTTACTCTGATACTCTACACCCAATGAAGCAATTTGCTGCTAACCCGTATATCATCAATCAATACCTTAAAGCGAACACCAACATCGAGCAGCTGACTGAAGAACACAACCTGCACACACACACACACATACTCACACAGCCACACACATATATACTCAAACACCCAAATATGTTATATATTTTTTGTTTTGATTTTTAAACTTTTACTCCATGCCTTATCCGATTTCTGCAATTCTTTTTCGTCTTTAAACTCCTTAAACTGTGCTTAAGATCTTTTAGTCGCCGGAACTTTGCCATTTTCGGACTCATGTGATATCATCGATTTACTAATGAAATCAAGAAGAAAATGTAAAAAAAAAAAATATAACGTGAACGATCAAGAACGATCCAATTATTGTGCACAGCAATTCTTGTGTAAATAGTCTATATAACTATAATCTTTTGCATGTATGTTAATACGAGTATAAGCGATATGGATGACGAAGATATACTTACTTATACAGATACTTGTGCATATATATATGCATGTATATATATGAATTGTTGGTTTTTTGTACATGTCAAATGATGTAAGCATACATATATGAGACGAAACTCAAATATCTTTAGCCTTAGCTGCAAATAAAGAATTAAAGATTCTTTGGAAAAAATAACAAAATTTAACTGGTTTTTCTTTTATGGGAATAAGACTTTAAAGCCGGAAACCCATACCCCTGACATATCACCCAATTAATCTTGTCTTTTATGGGGCTTTCAATCATTTTAAGTAAAGCACTTGCTTTAGGATACATTTTTAAAAATAGCATTTGAAAACTATTTGTTTTTTTTTTTCGATTTCAAGGTAACTCGGACAAATTTGTTTGTTGTATGCAAATTTATTGAATATTTGGCCAGGCTGTATATATATATATACTATATATATATAGAAATGGATATTAATTCTGGCTAAAAATGTGGTCAAGTTAGTTCCAAAAAGAACCAGAATCCGCTGCTGACGCCGGTGATAGCTACTATATAGCCAGATGATCTTGATCAAATACAGAAAAAGCCGAAGTGCACACACTCTTTCGAAGGCCTCAGGATATGCTAAGCTTCGTTTACATGCAAGAAGAACTATCATACATTTTGCCATAGATAAATAGTTTCAATATCTTGTACAGGGTATACAGGTCCTTAGAGGTCAGGCCCATCATCAGTTTGGCTAGCGCCGCGCTTCTGCACCGAATTTCACACTCATTCTGAAAAAGGCCAGCAAGAAACCAAACGGGTTCAATGTTATTTATTGCTGCAGCTTTAATTATATGTTAAATAGCTGAGAGTACGAGAATTTTATGAATCTTGTCTGTTCTGTCTATCGCTATCCCACTATAAAAGTCTGTTTGTTTAGCAAGGTAAATGTCAGTCGGCCCGAGACATTTGCACAGAGTGGATATTAATTGTGGAATATCGATAATCAAAACCAAAACAAACAGAAAATGAAACTAATCTTAATTTGCGCTCTATTTGTGGCCGTGACGTGTGCCGAAGATCAAGTTGATTTTATCACGAACGAGTCGAATGTGGAATACAATGGCAAATTCTACTACCAGTAAGTCTGAAGCGTTTAGGTTGCGATATTGGCCTGCGATAAGATTTAACGTGTTCCATTCAAAAGATACGAGCTGCTCGACGGCTCAAAAGCTATACAAAACGGCGAATTGAAAAAGATCGGAGAGGATCAGTACGGCGAAGCGGTCAAAGGATATTTCTCGTTCCCTGGCGACGATGGCCAGGAATACTCCATAAGTTATACAGCCGACGAGAATGGCTATCGGCCAGTTGGCGATCATTTGCCCACACCGCCACCCACGCCCGAGTCGGTGCTGAAAACCCTCAAATACCTAGCCGAGCATCCCTACCAGCCCAGCGAGAAACAGCCGTAGTCGATAGACTAGCGCACCCAGCATATATATGTGATCTTTAATGTGAAGTCAACAACAACTGTGAACCAAAAGAACTGAACGAGTCAAGTTAAAGCTATAAAATATACACAACACTAGCAAATTGAAAAAAATACTTAAAATTTCCTTACACTCATATCAAGATTTACCAAAATTATTTTCAAAATAGTTTTCAACAGAAATAGGGAAAGAATTTTGGTTTTCTTTTCACGCACGTTGATTACTTTCTCGCCAGTGCGAAATGGTATTCAAATTCGTGAACATGTTTTGCATGACTAAGTTCTTGACTTTTGCGGCAGTTGCGTAACTTTTTGGCGCATTCTCTCTGCCTGGGGTGCCCCGCCCAACAATGTACAACGAGATTCGGATCTGTAAACTTTGTTAGGCGTGAACTCGGCGAAATATGAATATGTTCAATTTGCCTCGTTTAGCAGCTTTGCTCGATTGCAATTCTGCAGTTGGCAACAGCTGCAAAGCTTCGACTTGTTAACCTCTCGTAATTAAGTTCTAATTGGCAAATACGCGATGCTGGAAGCGGGCCGAAGACAACGCCTGTTAGTTAAAGCGAGTGTGTTGGGCAAATGTTTGTCTAGACAATTTCTTATATCTCAGAAAATACTTCGTCTGCTACCGAGAATTCTATATTTCGACTGAATGTTGCATAATCCCAAAACGGAAAACGAAAGTGTTAATTCGGAATGAATTTATTTTATTAGCAATCAGCTGTTAAATTGAATACATCGAATCTGGTCTGGGCTGAGAGAGAGCAAGAAAGAGAGACAGAGAGAGAGAGAAAGAGAATAGAATACTTTTCCAAGAGTCTCTCTCTCATTTATACTACTTTCTAAGTGATTCTATGACAGAGAGAGTGTGACAGAGAGATTATCCTAAATACCTTTCTCTCTCTCAGACAATACTTTTCTAACTGACTCTCTCTCTCTCACTCCCTCTTTCTCTCTCCCTTTCTCTCTCTGTTTGCCTCATTAAATACCCTTAATTCTGTCGTTCTGGTCACAGTTCAAGTTCATTGACCCATCATTGGTATTCATTGCGTATACGTAATAGGCAACTTTATCATTTACAATACTCGTACTCTACATTTTTATAGCCGCCTTGCCTGTGATCACCGTTAGCCCGTATGCGTATTTATGAGTGCTCTAATGTCTGCGGCAAATTGTTTCCATAATCGAAACGTGCCTGGCATAAAAAGCAAGTCTACAATTGCCATTTGCCTAAATGAGAAATTGATTTGATCCAATAGTTATGTGAAGGAACGTAGCAAAACATCGTACCCTTTGATCAGAATTGCCGTGGAGAAACTCTGTTGCCTTGATCAGAGTCGTTGTTATACTAACTTAATTCCTTTGCGGACAAGCGGCTTCCCAGCGCCGCTGGCACTTCCCCCATATCCTCAATGTTTCAACGGAACTTACAGCAGTTGAGCAAGAATTATATTCGGCGCAGGCAAATCACGTAGCTGCCAACTCGGGCTGGCAATGCCATCAACATCATCGCTGAGACAGCGAACGGAGACATGTCACAGCTCAGCTGTCGTAGCATACAGCTTCGGGTATCACCCGCTGACATCGTCGTTTCATCTTCATCTCTTTGGCGGTGCGCGCGCGGTGTTTACTCATCGGCCTCATCGGATGCGCGAAATGGACAATATAAAAACCTCAAACGATGGCCACACCAAAACAAAACAAAACAGTGTACTTGAGTTGGTAGTGAACGACTGTGAAATACCCTGTTGGGAAGTGAAAATATAAGCTATGCTACTGAATGTCTAATATTCAAATAATACTTGTTAGTAAATATAGTAGAACAGCCAAATACCCTGTAAAATACTTGCCATGTTTGCATTTGACTAGCTGAAAAACTCAACTTTATTAGATTATTAGACTTCTTCAGTAATCTGCCTCTCAATCACACTATACCCGCTCTGTTCGACTACAGGGTATTCATTCGGAATGAGACGAAGAAGCGCCCGCTCATAATTTGTTTTTTATGGTGAAGTACGAGCACGAGTACTTGACGCTCTCTGCTGCTTATCTAGTGCGCCCATCGTAATCGTTAGCAGCGGCAACCGAAGCTGGCGCGGTGCGTGCGAGTGCGAGTGCGAGTGCGAATCAGGTGCTCGCCCTCGTCAACGAGATGGTATATAAAGGCCAAGCGGCGGCTGGGTAGTCAACAGTTGTGCATTAACTCTCTGCAATTGGATAACCCCCTACAGACAATTCTAAGCTCAACAGAATGTACAAATTCGTGACTGTCTTGTGCTCGGCTCTGCTGCTGACCTATGTCTTGGCCCGTCCGCAGGATGCGCGCGCCGCTAGCTCGATCACAACAACCACCACACAGGCCAGCATCATCCAGCAGGAAAATGTGAACAATGCCGATGGCAGCTTCAACAGCAGGTGAGTCTGGAACGATCTCAAGTGCACCAGGACTCGAAGCTAAGTTACGCTTTCCATGCAGTTACGAGACATCGAATGGCATCCGAGTGGAGAACGTTGGCTACCTGAAGAGGATCATCATACCCAAGACGGAGACCAGCGACGGCCAGGTAATCGATGAGCACGAGGAGCTCGTCCTGGTCCAGACCGGCAGCTACAGCTACAGCGATCCCGAGGGCAACATCATCACGCTGCGCTATGTGGCCGATGAGAACGGCTTCCAGCCCGAGGGCGATCATCTGCCCGTTGCGCCGCAATAGTTGCGTTTGTGTAATTAAGAAGTTAGCGTTAAGTATGTATGCATATCTTATATGAAGTATAAAGTATTACGTACTGGATATAGCACAGCACAGCCCGATGCCATACGATCTGTCTGCAACAATTCAGTTCTTATGTCACTTATGGCACTGACATTCACACTCACACTCACACACACCCACACCGACACACACCTGAATACCCGAATAAAAGACCACAGCGAAGAAGTAATAAATAAATGAATAAATATTGAACAATTAAGTTTGTGTCTCATTGCCACTTAGCCAAGTATTCATACACTCACTGCACAGGCACTCACTTATGAGTGTTTGAGTGCTGCTTCTCAGCCTCGTGGCGCTTACAAAATTACCAAACTGCCCTTCACGCCGACTTGCGGTTGATGCCATCTCAGAGGCTGCTACGGATGATGATGATGATCAGATTCCATATTGTTTACACACACACACACACTGAGGCAAGTAAGTTGCTGAAGCCGATACCAGAAAACGATTCAATACCAAAACCAATTTAATCTAAATGCTCTAATCGCTGCGCAACCGCAGTGACTAGCGTTGCTATGATCGATCCCCTCTAATTTGTTTGCGCATCAGTTTCGTTTGACCAATGTCCACAAATCGCAATCAGGGCAAACAACGCTGCCTTCGAGCTGTTTGCCGTTATAATATGTAAAACTATGAGAGTGACATGAAATCGAATTTGGAATATGAAATAGAGATGTTGATAAGTTTGAATAATATAGCTAAATTAGGTTCGCTTGCATACAACCAGAGATCGAGTCCATTGAGCTGTTGAGATGCCAAACATAACTGACATGTATTTAATATATATTTTATAATTGCCATAGATCTTAGGATTGTTTCTGTTAGTCTCAGACTTACTTAAACTTGGTATTTATTCACCATTTATTATGACTGTGCCAACTTCATGAGCATACCTCGCCACATCTGCACACAAATCAGCATTTAAAAATGAATATACATTTAATGACTCAATCGTTCCGATAATTAAACGGCCAAAACACTTTATTATCGGAAAAGTCCAATGCCAAAGTGTTGAATTAGTTCTGTTTCAGTTGGACTTGGAGTTGGAGTTGGAGTTGGAGTTGGACTTAAAGATGCTCACAATCAACGGGATGTTGGGAATTAGCTTATTTACGGCCAGCACGCTGTGCCTTTGTGTCACAGCACAGATGATGCCGGTAAGAAAACAGAGAAAAAGAGAGAGAGAGAGAGAGAGAGAGAGAGAGATGTATATAGTTCCACTTTTGTCTAGCATATGGGCTACTATATTGTAGTTAGCCAAGTGGAATGTTCGGGCAATCCAAGGTACATAGCCCAAGCGAATTGCAGCGCGGTGCCGCCACGGAATCAAAGCATCAACGCAGCTCTGACGCTAATGCAGCACATCAGAAGCTTAACGGGCACCCTGAAGGTATCCATACCGAAGAAGAATAAAATGCACAAGATATTCGAGGTATCGTTTGAGCTGTGCAAGCTGTTGCGGGAGCAGAAGAGAAAGAGTCTAATCGAGATACTCAGTGCTATGACCTGCCTGGGCAATCGCACCATTCAATGCCCAATTAATGCAGTAAGTGGGAGTATTTCAAATACATATATACACCAAAACTGATATCTCTCCACCGCGTTCAAGGGCTTTTACAGTGCGCGCAACATCACAATCGTCGAGGCGCTGCCGCCCATACTCTCTGAATCCGATTTTCTAGTACGTATCTATTGGTTTTTGCCGAAAGTGGCATCGGTCCTGAATATTACAGCCATGGGGCGCTTATATGAAAATGCCAAAGAACGTCCGAAGTGGAAGAAATATTTATAGATATATTTGTAGAATATATTTGCAACATATTCAAATGCCCGAAAGTATGCTGCGATTCTGCATTTTTATGCTTAATGTTTACTAAGAAGCTGTAAAAAATTAAAGCATACATAATTATGCTGAAGCAAAAAGAAAAGCTTAAATAAATAAAATCGAGAAAAATCGAAAATAAATAAATAATTATTGAGTATTGTCATATTGTAACTATTTCGTTTCACAGCACTAATTACTACTATGAGAGCAATTAGATGTATAAAAATTCCATAAACTACTATTTTATTTAGGCACTGTCCATTCCATAGTCAGACAACATGTTTCGCATGATGGCCCTGCTAATTTTGGGGCTTGCGTTAAATGTGAACATATCAAAGGTAATCACTACCATTCCAAACGTTTTATGATATTTCAAGCACTTATCACCCTTGCAGAGTCGAAATTTGAGGCTACGCTGGAGTACTTTCGATTGTCAGGTGCATGCCGACTATATATCAGAATACAAATGTGATGTGGTGCAGCCACGACGCTCAGCTGTCAATGTGGAACTTAATTTGCTACAAGAACTCAAAGCTGTCAAAATACATTCTCTGATATCCACAAGGTATACGACAGCTGCATTATACCAAAAGCTATTTGAGAACACTCTGAATGCTTGCCGTGTTATATCTCAGGTGTCGCGAAAGGGAATCATTCCCAATATCTATGGCTCTATAATTAAGGCCACAAATCAGCCCACAAAATGTCCAATAAAGAAGGTAAGATTTAATTTTATAAAGTTACGAAAAATAAATACATTTAAATATGTACGCTCACATTTATTTTTAGGGCTTGCTTTACTATTATAATATTAGCGTGGAAGAGGTATTGCCAAGCTTCGTGCCCGTCGGCCATCTAATGACCCAGGTCCGCTTCTTTGATCGGAATCAATGTTATTTGAATATTACGCTCGAAGGGACTGTATCAAAAACCTAAGCCCATAATGGATTATTACACTGTGTACAATGTCAATCTAGTTGAGTTTTATCTTCAAATATAAATCAATCAACATTAACTCAGCAATTAGTCAGCTAATTTTCCATACCATTTTATATATTCATTTCTGTTTCCACCTCCAGTGCGTTATTAACAATTAACCAGACCAGTAATTAGCTTAGCATGGACAAACTACTTGCTCTCCTTTTGCTGCTGTCAACGGCCAGCCTGGCCGCCAAGGTATTCTCACTAATCAATCACTCAAAGATGAGAACTAAACTCTTCGATTCCTCAGCGCACCATTATCCAGTGGAGTAGCTTCGAGTGCATTGAAAATCCGGAGATTGTTACGTACCACAGATGTTTCATTGTGAATCCGCCGAAAACTATAATTACGGGCGAAATAGAATATAATCGTGGATTTCAACAGTACAATGCCAAGATCGCATTATATTTGCCACGCCCACCGTTTAAAGAGTTTTACAAGGTTGTCGATTTGACTCTAGATATCTGCCAGTTCTTTAGTGGAGCCTATAAGAATAATCTAATAAAAGTCGCCTACAACAGCATGATGAAGCACAGCAACATGCCCAAGAAGTGTCCACAGCCCAAGGTGAGTCATATTAGAGATCAACGAGAAAAGTTCTAATCCATTTATATATCATACAAATCTTTTCAGGGATTTTACTACTATCCGAACATGAGCATAGGCGACAATCTGCAGCCCTTCCTGCCGAAATACGAATTTAAAGTGCAATTAGACTTCTTTCTACCCAATGTGCCGATGTTCAATGTGTCTCTAAGTGGACGCTTGACTGACTATCATAGGGTTAAGAAATCCTAAAAACTTCTATCAATATTGCACACTTTATTAGTTATTTAATATAAACCATTTTGATGTGAATCATTTATTTTGTATATTAGTCCCAGTTTACGGATAAATATCTACTATATAAAGCTTTTCATGAATTTGCCTCTTACTGAATATATTCTAAGACTCAAGTGTAGTATTTTATAATATTTTCAGATTTGCGAGTATGAGAATGGCCCAACATACTTTCAAACAAGACTTCTAGGTTGGGCATTACACAAAACTAATATACTCTATTCACTACGTAAACAAGTACAATATATTAGCATTAGGAAAACGCAGCATTTGGATTAACAATTTGAAAGCGTCCTTCATGTGGAAATTCTACATTTGCAATTTATTGCAAATTCATCGTAGCTAAAAATTGTAATTTAATTGCATAACAAACTAATAAATATAATTAGGAAAAACAAGTTCGTCGTGGAATCAAATTAGATTTAGATACCAAAGCAATTTGCACATTTGTAAACAACTATATTTAGTCATTGTACAAGAGTCAGCCTATTCGCTTGCCAAATGAATAAATTATATTATATATTTATTGCTTTAGCAGTGTTGTGGCCTTTAGCTGATCTAGCTAACAAGGTGAGTGGTGAAAGTAGCCCTAATTTAATTATAAATTCAAATATGCTCAACTATCCGACAGCCCAACCATTTGATTGTGACCTGGCGCTCGTTAGAGTGCCAAGTAAATCCTGACATTATTCCGTTCTACAGATGCTTCATTCTTGATTCGGATAAGACTCTCTTGACAGCCGAGTTTAAATATATTCGAGAAGTTGCAAGGATTAATACAACCCTTACTGTATATTTTTTGCGCACGCAGACGAAGGAATTTCGCAAAATATTTGGTTTATCTTTCGATATCTGTGATCTCAACAATAAAACAGTGTTTCACAAAATGGTGAATATTGCCTACAAGAGTATAGTAAAGAACAGCAATTATCCTAGAAAGTGTCCTTTGCCCAAGGTAAGCCTCACTCTCTCTCTCTCTCTCTCTCTCTATCTCTTTCTGTAAATATTAATTTTACTCTCTCAATATCTTCAGGGCTTGTACTTCTATCGCAACGTTAACGTGGGTGAAAACCTTCCGCTCTTTTTCCCATCTGTAGACTTTAAGGTGCAATTGGATTTCTTTACATTGAATTTCTCACTTACAAATATTTCCATTAGCGGAAATATATCACGCAGATAAACCAATAAATACTAAAAAGCCAATATGTTATTGACCGATAAGAAATTTGTTATTTACTTTTATAATAAAGGCGTGAACGCGATAGTGCTAGACTTTCTGGATCATTATCCAGATATATTTAATGATCAATCACACAAGCTATTAATGTATTTAAAGGACACTTTTGAACTTTATCCCAGGCAGCATAAACCTAATATACTCTTCTCGCTTCACCACAAATATTTTTATTAAACAATTTTAATCGTTCTCAATAGTAAAATGTCGACATTTGAAATATATTTCGCAAATCGCTCTCTGCTAAAAATTTAGAACTTAATTGAATAAAAATAAACTAAAAGTATAATTGATAAATCAGAGTTCGAAATAGATTTAAAATGAATGTAGGTATGACAACTTTTTCGATTGCATTCAAATTATTTAGTCATTGCGAAAACATCAGCCGATTCGCTTGCCAAAATGGATAAATTATATATTTTGACAGTGCTTTGCCATATGTCTATAGCATCGCCAGCAAACAAGGTGAGTTTTTTATGTCAGTCATTAATGCAGTGGATCTTCCATTAAATATGCCCTACTATACAGCTGCCGGACCATTTGATTGTGACTTGGAATTCGTTCGATTGTAAAGTAGATCGTGCTTTTATTGTGTCCCATAGATGCATCACTGTTGACAAGGACAGAACACTGTTAACAGGGGAATTTCAATACATTCGAGATTTGCAACAGTATAATATTAGCCTAGCCGTCTATATTCGACGAGGGAAGTCGAAGGAGTTCCGCAAAGCCTTAGATTTGTCTGGAGATGGCTGCAATCTCAATTCACAAAACTTAGTTAACAAAGTCGCGAGTATTGCCTACAAAAGTATAATAAAGAACAGCAATTATCCCAAAAAGTGTCCTGTGCCCAAGGTAATTCTTACTATACATTTTTTCATATATATTTAAATCTCTCTCTCTCTCTCTTTCTCGCTCTATTGATATCGAACAATTTTCAGGGCTTCTACTTCTATCGCAACATTAACTTGGGTGAAAATATTCCAATATTTTTTCCAACTTTGACTTTTCGAGCTGAACTGAATTTTTTTACGATCGATGCAAAATTTATGAACATTTCATTGAGTGGAAGTTTAATACGGAAATAGGCCAACAAATAATAACGACTTAGTTCAAATCTTTTATCAAAATTATGCTATTAAAAAATAAATTATGTTAAAAGCACTGTGTAAAAGAATAAAAAATCAACATTTTTTAATAGTTTTTTAAACTTAAAAAAAAAGGCAAATTTAAAATATATATGGATCAAGTCAACAGGCATTAATAATTATTTTTGAAAAAAATGTTTGTTAGATTTAGATACCGAAACACGGAATATATGTATGTACTTTGTCAAGCTAATATTATAAATTTAATTGCTTACAAAAATTGAAAATATAATTGAGAAATCATGGCTTGAAATTGAAGCAAATCATTTTAAATACAGTTAGTCAATGCAAAAACGTCAGCCGATTCGCTTGCCAAATGGATATATTATATATTCTGACAGTGCTTTGCTATATGCCTATAGCAGCGCCAGCCAACAAGGTGTGTGTTTTTGTTTTTAGTCATTAATACAGTTAAATAAAATATGCCCAACTATATAGCAGCCCGATCATTTGATTGCGACTTGGGAGTCGTTTAATTGTAGCGTAAATCGCGAGGTTATTGGCTTCCATAGATGCCTCATTGTTGATCCGGATAAAACTCTGTTAACGGCCGAATTTGAATATATTCGAGCATTTTCAAATGTTAACATTACCCTAGCACTCTATGTTCGACGAGGAAAGTCAAAGATGTTTCGCAAGACTTTAGTTTTACGCCTGAATTATTGTGAACTCAGTCAAAATAAAATCAGAAACAAAATCGGGAATATGGCCTACAAAAGTGTAATAAAGAACAGCAATTATCCAAGAAAGTGCCCCGTGCCCAAGGTAACTCTCTCACTCTTCTATCTCAATGTAAATATAAATCTCTCTCTCGTTTGCTATTCAGGCCCTCTACTATTTTCGGGACATTAACTTATCGGACAATATTCCGCCTTTTCTTCCGCCAACGTCTTTTAAAGCAGAAATATACTTTTTTTCGATCGATATAAAAATTATAACTGTTTCGTTAAGTGGAAATTTCACACGAAAGCAAACCAATAAATATAATTTTGATTAAAATCATGCTAAGTATATATTAAGCTAAATAATGGATTATTGTGCAGCGCATATTTAATGTCAATAAACGTTAGTTTTATCTTAAAATATCTATCATTCAAGATTACCTTGGTACATAAAAAACAATACAATATTCTGATTTCCCGTGCAATTTCATATAGATTTCAGCCACGAGCGCGTTATTCACAATTAACCAAGCAAGTAATTAGCACATTAATATTATTACTATAAAAATCAAGGTATTCCCATTCGTACGTCCAGGCACCACAAAAGGTGTGTCAGGCCAAAGAACCATCCATCAAATACTTGTAGTAACGCATATTTTCAGGAATTTTTACTACTAATAATCATTGGAAACAATAATAGAGCAATGGCATATATTTTTATATAGATTTAATTGTTCAAAAAAAAGATAATCAGGAAATTAGAATTTAAAACACAAAACTTTTTTGCATATACATTAATACCATATTTAGTCATTGCAAACGTGCCAACCGATTCGGTAGTCAAATAGATAAATTATATTTTTTTTTCGAGACTTTATTTGCCTATATATTTCTGTCTGAGTGAGTTCAAGTTAGAATTCAATTATTTTGCGCTAAGGCAAAAAATTTTAAATATTTCGTCAAACGCAGATTTGACCCGCAGATAAAAATCAGCACACATGTAGTTAATAAATTAAAATAAAAGTATTGCATATATATATATGTTATGCTACACGTAAACTGAATGAAAGAGCTGCTGATATCTTTCCAGAATTGGGCGGTCAATAAACTGAGGCGAGATCTACGATTAATATATTCTGAGTTCAGAATTAGCAATCGGAATCGGATCAAGAAGAATTTCTTTGAACAGGAAAAATGGAATGCTTGTTAGAATTGCCAATTACCGAGCGGGTATACGTGGCCTGTCTATCAAGTGGTGATGATTACGCTGATCAACGGACATATCCATCCATTACTAGAGCATTATTTACGATTCAAGCTCAAGATGCCAGCCACTGACAAGAAATTTCACAACATCATGACACTTGAAATTGCCGCAAAATTTATTGCCTCGCCGTTTGCCTCCCACCCGCCGTCGAGCGGACTTTTTTGTAAACCAGTCTTTGGTATACGGTCTTTGGTCTCCGATCTCTCCGATCTCTGGTCTTAAATGTCAAATGGCGCACGAGCTAAGAACACAATTCCCAACAAGAGATGCAACCTACACCAAATGCTAACCGGAGAATGCAGCAGCCAAGCATTTGACATTTTCAATGGTCAACAAAAACGAAGAGGCAAGAGACTAGCTCAAGTGGTTTGTAGTTGCGGCTGCTGGACGTGCTAGTGTAAGTGGGTCAGTGTGGATGTGGCTCTGGAGCTAACCTTGCCAGCTTTCGTTTTCATTGAGTTGGGGGGAAAATTACACAATTGACGCTGCGCGGTGACTCAGCGGGCACTCCAACAACTGGTAACTGGTACCCGAAAGGCAAGCGTTTAATCTGACGGCGCTGAGGCTTTTGGCTTGGGTGGGCAGTCGGCAGTTGGCAGCAGAAGAGGTGCGGCTGCGCAGGCGGCCAGGCCCAAAATGTTAGCTTGTCTCGCTCTTTTCTTTTTATGGCAATCGGCAACACTTGACCAGTTTTTTACACATGCTCTTCCGCTTACGCTCGCTATTCATCTCTCGCTCGCTCTCTTCATATTCGACTCGCCGACCGGCAAAGCGGTTGTTCAACTCTCCGCATTGTGTTGCAAGTGATTCTTGCATCTTCGCAATCAAATTTATTTGCATTTTTTCCATTTGTTCCATTCCAACAGAAATTGGCTAGTAATCGTGGTAATCGCTTTTGCATGATATTATCGTCAGAGATTTACCCATTTTCCACAACTAATTAACATTTGCCAAGATCCATTACCCATTGCCGTTTTGAACTCAATTATCGTCTTGCCTCATCAGCAGCTTCGCTAGCCAAAACAAACAAAAAGAGCCAAAGCCGATCCACAGCAATGCGAGTATTACAACAATTTTCAGTTTCAATCTATGCCACATATATTGTATGTCACTGTCCTCTACGCCGATAGTTCCCCCTGCCTGAGATTCCCCCAATAGCATTACAAGAATCCGAGCTCTACAAGCCGTAACATCTTCGAAACGAAATACAGAGCCAACATAGATATGGAGAGCAATAGAGCGCTCAAAAGCTCGAGAGACAAAACAAGAGAGAGAGAAATAGAGAGAGAGAGAAAACGAGAGCGTGAGCGTAAAACTGGCTGAGAGAGTGGGAGAGCGTTTTGCAGGGTTCGGCTGCATTTTGGCGAAGACAAGCAAACGTTGTCGAAGCTTGCTGCAAAAACCAAACTCGTTCTGGCTTATTTCTAAATAACGGCATTACGAAGATGAACGACCGGACAGACGCCGACGATCCGCACACTTTTGCCGTGCCCATTACCATATCCAGTATGCATAAGTATTATGTGAAATCCAACGATGTCGCTTGACATAAACTCTCTATCGAGAGAAGACCGAAATTCGTATATATTATAATATTGACTTATATTTGCATTTAAGATCATTAGATCCAATCGTCTGTAATAATTTAATTGTGTTATTTATGCCTAACGATTGGCCATAGTATTTAAAAACAACCTAACGGTTCTTTTAGCTTAGCCTCAAAATCAACAATTTAAAAAGTAAAAGTATTCTACTTTTCGCATCACCTTTATTCGAGCCATAATGATCAAGCTGTTCGCAAAAAGCCAACAACATGATGGCTGACTGGATGGCTGGCTGGCCGAAAGAGCAGCAACAGCATCTGCAGCTATGGCAATTGCAACTATTGTCAATGTAGTTGTGCTGTAACTGTATCTGTAACTCTATCTCTATTTTGATCGTCGTCTCTCTGGCCAAGGCGCTCGCTGGCACGCGGGCTCCAGCTGCGAGCGCAGGAGACGCTGACAAAAGTCGCGGCTATATAAAGCACTTAAATAGGGCCGCCGCAGCACAGTTCGCATCGTTGCAGCTTTCACTTAACCAACCACACGGGCGCCGCATCAAAACGCGCATTTGCCACTGCATTTAACTGTAAATGCACACAGCATCTAACGGCTATCAGCGAAATCCTTGCAAGTGAATCGTCAGTTAAGCATTCGAAATGAAAGTGTTTGTAAGTTCCGACATCAGTGAATCGTCAAATTGGTTTTGCATGGGTTGCGGTTTGTGCCGTTGCGGTGTCAAGTATATAAGTTCAATAATAATCAAATAATTAATAATAATAATGTTGAGGAGTACAAAATAGCTCAAGGAATAATATCAATCTAGAGACAAGCTGAAAAGCTGCAGAAAGATGTTGAAGAAATAATCGCTCTGGTCTGTTATTAAATTATTGTTTGAGACTAAATTAAATTAACGAATAAACAATAATAAATAAATAAAATAATTAATGAATAAAAACCGTTTAAGAAATGTAGATATATCAAAAAAATTAAATATTGCATTTTTATTCACAAAAAGCATATTGCAACAAAATATTACATTCACTTTATTTTAATTTTATTTTAATTAAAAAAAAAAGAAACAAACAAAATAAACTAAAAGTGGCCAAAAATGTTGTTAATTTTATTTGCAATTAAATCATTTAATATAATATTTTTTTTTTAGATATATTATATTTTATATATTAACAATTTCAAATTATTAATTAAATTAATAAAGCACATAGCTTTCAAATATTGTCATGGGTTTTTATTGAATTTTTAAAAATTAAAAAAATGTATTATTCATTACACTGCAACAAATATTAAATAAAACACATTGGCATAAAACTAATAAAAGTGTAAAAAATCAAACTAATTTAATTTTAGGAAAATAATTTAGTAGCTTTAGTTCATAAAAAAATATATATATTTTGTAAATATAATATTAATTTAAAAATTTAATATAATTCATAACTCAATTTGATATATATTTACATAACTTTAATCTAAAAATCAATTAGTTCTCTGCCCTTAATATAAGCTGAATTTTCTAGAATAAAACCAATTAATAAAATTTGCAATTTCTTTTCAATATAGATACTTATTGCGCTGTTTGCCCTTTCGTGCCATGCGCAGCAATACAACCAGCGTCAGCAGCAGCAGCAGCAGCATCATGCCCACCTGAATGCTAACAATATACCGCACGATGAGAAGGCGGACCACCGGCATGAGGATCAACGCGAGACCAGCACCTGGATACCCATACTGAAGTACAACAAGGAGCAGAGCGAGGATGGCAGCTACAAGACCGAATACGAGACCGGCAACAGCATCATACACGAGGAGACGGGCTTCCTCAAGGACTTCGACACCAATCCCAATGGCGTCCTGGTGCAGCACGGCCAATACTCCTACCAATCGCCAGACGGCACCCACGTCAACGTTCAGTACACGGCCGATGAGAATGGCTTCCGTGCCACAGGTGATCATATACCCACTCCGCCGGCCATACCCGAGGAGATACAGAAGGGTCTGGATCAGATCTATGCGGGCATTAAGCTGCAGCAGGAGCGCCTAGAGCAGCGTGCCAAGAGCGATCCAGGCTTTGCCAAGAAGCTGGAGGAGCGACGCTTGGCCAACCAGAATGGCCAGTACATTGGCCTGCTGGAGAATCAGTAGAGAGTCAGCGCTCGCACAACGTAAACCAAAAGCTCTCAACCAGATAACGTGCTGCATTTTTTCGAAACTTTTCAAAATTTTTACAACTTTACAACTTGCCTCCTTCACTGACCATAACCAAGCGAGAGACTGTGATTTCTGCTATAAATTCTACAACACAAAAAAAAAAAAAAAACAAAAGTTAATGAATCTAACACTTTGCAAACAGCCGCAGCACACACATATTTATGTTAACGATCGTGAAAGTTTTGTTGAATAAAAGAAAATAATCACAATAAAAGCGGAAAAACAAAAATTTCCATCCAACACACACGCGACCCCAAACATTATTCAATGATTTTCCATTTCCATACACACCCATGCACATACCTCCATAATGTTCACAAAACGTGACAATGCGCAATGGATTGTTTTTTTTTTTTATTCTTTTTTTTTTCAGTTTCTGTTGGCAGTTTTTATTGTTATTATTATTGTTTGATTTTTGTATTCACAGCTTAAATTACCTCATGAGTCCGTTTGTTGATCCCATTCCATGGTGCATAATCTTTTTTTTTGTATAAATATTTAATATTTTCCATTTTCCATCAGCGCAATTTTCCATACGGCTTACTTTGTGCATGTGGTACAGCCTCAGACTTTTGACAGTCCCGTCAGACCAGCTGTTGCATAATTTTTTGGCAGCTTTTCTTTTGACGTTTTGACTTGGTTTCGATTTTTGCAAGTGGTTTCGTCTCGAAGTCACTCGAGTGCTGCTTCACTGAGCTCCATTCCAAAAAAAACAAAAAAAAAAGAAAAAGAAAAACAACTGCGACTGGAAAATCTGAATTATGAGATGCACATGTGAAGCTTATGAAACTTTAATGTGAAAAGTATTGGAGTCGTGGAAACTATGGCAATTGGTAAGCAAATATCAATAGGAGAGAGTTGTGCAATCAGAGATACCCTGTAAGCCTGCAAGATATGATATATGATGATGATATAGGAGAAAACTAAAGATAAACAGAAATTTGTGCATGAAATAAAATAAAATCATTAAAAATAATTATAAAATTCAATCCCTAAAATTCATATAGACTTGGTAATAAAAACTCGCAAGCCCTTTAATGCATTGATGCACTTCTCTCAGCGCCAATTGAAGAAAGTCATTAAAATGGAAGTAGAAATATTTTATTCGTCTTTAAGACAAACTCCATTCAAATCTCTTCACACTTTTCGGCCTACTACTGTTTTACCGTTGGGCCAATCAATGTGGTGAAAAGTTTGGCCCCCAGCCATCGTCGTCAGCTTTTGGAGATATTTACAGACAGCTCGCACAAACGGTGCCAAAAAATCAACAAGAAAACTTTTTTAGTAGCACAAACGAGACGAGCTGCCTAGTAATTTGCATAGATCTTGGCATATACGAAGCTTTACATAGTATATATCTGATATAGAGATATAGATATGTTTGTATGCATACATATATGTATGTTTACCTATCTAGAACCCTCCACATTGACTGCTGTGCTCGGCACAGCGAAGTATTTCAGGCCCGCTGCATTTTCACCAACCACAACGAAAGAATGTTTATTCGCCATTAAGTTTTAACGCTCTTGCGCATAATTAAGCGAAAAGTGAACAAAAGAAATCATTTCAATGGCCATGATTAAGAATGTTTCTCTGGCCGTCCATGGTGCTGGTTCAGCAGCCCAAGCGGCCGCAAATTGATTTGGCCAACGTCAGTTGCCGTTCAGAAGCCGCCGTGTTTAGACCACGAAACGTGCAAAAGAAATAGCCAAACCGAACGTGCAGATAACTGAGTGAAAAAGAAAAATAAAGAAAATAAGAAAGAAAGAAAAAAAAAACGGAAATCTAAAGTCTGAAATCTGAAATCTGAAATCAACATCAACAAAGTGCGAATATCGATGGGCAGGTGGAATTGAGAGTCGATAGCCCGCTTGAACAATGAGTTGTTGCCGTTGTTTTGTGTGCCAGCAGCAACAACAAAGCCTAACAACAATAAAACTAAGCTAACTGTGAATCGTATATACAAAACAGAAACTAACAGCAGCAGCAGCAGCAGCAACAACAACAACAACAATAGCAATATCCACTTCAGAAGTGGCACATCATTTCAGTAAATAGAAACCGAAACCGAAACGAACTGAAACCGTTCGAACTGTTGTCTCTTAGTCCAGTTTAACTATGGCCAGCAAACAGTTGTCTCTTCGAATCTTGTGGCTTTTGTTCGCGCTGAGCCGCCAACCGAGCGTCCTCGGCCAGGACGAACCGGATGCCCAGCAATTGCAGGCGCTTCGACCACGGGGCCGTGTACGCATTGCGGATATGCAAATGGCGGCTCAGCAGCCGCCGCCCCCACCACCCGCCATGCTGGGCCACGGCTCCATCAACTGGCCGGGCTATGCGCCCATCGTGCCGAATGTGATGCCCCTGCCGGCCAGCTCCACGGTGCACACGCACATTCCGCTTCTGCGCGAGCAGCTGGATAACAAGGCGCCGAGCGACAGCGTGGTGTACGGCAATTGGAAGCAGGAGCAACCACAGATGCCGCCTGAAGCCGGCGAGGAGCCGCCAAAGCAACGCAAATATGGACGCCTCGAGGCCATGCTCATGGGCATGCCAGCCGATGGTGAGTGGCTGGAGCTAGACCTAGCTTCATTTGATCTCAATTGCATTAAAAACTCTCCCATGTACTCACACTTGTTGCAGCCACCGATAGACGCGACACGTCCAGCGAGGAGATGTTGCCGGAAACAGAGCAACGCACTGCAGCCGTGGGCTATCAGAATCCATATTCGCGTCGCGACAGCTTCGAGCGCTCGCAGGAAAACCACGGTCGCTGGCGCATACCACCGCAACTGCATCCATCCCAGCTGCAGCCACAGCCACAGCCACAGCCACAGCCGCAGCCACAGCCGAAGCGATCAGCAATTGAAGTGGTGCGCGTGAATGCAACGGATCCTCTGATGCGAGCGATGGCCCAGCAAATCAACGAGTCCGTTGAGACAACGACAGCCATACAGAGACGCCAGCACATGCAAACCACAGAGGATAACTGGATGCCGCTGCCCTATCCGTATCCCACGCCCACCTTTGAGAGCACGCAGCCCGTGCCGCGGGTGAGTCCAGTGATGAGCAGCACGGCAGCGCCCACGCTCAGCTCGGGCCCTGTGGAGTCCACCACCGTGGCGCTCAATTGGCCCACAGACTTTCTGGATGCCACGGCCAGCAGCACTGAGCGCATCTACACCGATGCCGGCAGCAGCATCGATCGTGTCGATCACATTGACAGCATCGATCGGCTAGACGACGACATCGATGACTATAAATACTATGAGGAAAATCTCAGCTCGGCTCAAATGCAAAGCGAGCTGAGCGTGCCGGAGACCCAGGTGCCGCAGATGCCACAGGTGCCGCTCAATATCACGCGCGTCGGCATTCCCTACGAGGAGCGCAACTCCGCCGAGGAGCCGACCATCTGTGTGCCACTGACCGTATCGGAGATGGCCACGGAGAGCTCGACGGCGGTGCTGGTAGAAGTGGAGCGCGTCTATTGCTTTCCGCTGCCCAAGGTTGAGATCAAGTCCGGCAAAGTGCGACAGCAGTTCGTGCCGCCGGCAACGGAGCAGGAGCCCAGCTCCAATGCAAATGTCACAGCTGTGGACATGGATCAGCCCCAGCCAGAGGCAACTGCAGGTGCCAGTCATCCGACCAGCTGGGCATTGCTGCTCATCGTATGGAGCTACGTCTTGGTTCATTTATAGTCTAACTAACGCGATTGCAAATCGCTGAATCTTAACTCAGGGCCTATTTGTAATTAGTGAATCGAAACATATTTATTTACACCATTAAAGCTGAACCAAACCCATTTAATTAAACGATCTTCTTATTCAGTGAAGAACAGAGCAGCCTCCAATTGGGATTGTGTGAGACGTTGTTGACGTCAATCAGTTGCTTCGAGTGCCTGGCTAAATGATGTTTATTTTGATCTTCACTTGCCTGAGAATTGTTTTTGTGATTAATTTTTCAGATTACTGTGAAGCATTGAGCTGAGTAAGCAATTGTGAATTCAATTACTCCACTTTGCTCCACTCCAACTGCTTTCAATGGGATCGTCGATGGATTCTACTGACTGTTTGACTGTGTAGCCCTGGCAAGATCTTGTGTTGGTTTATAAAGAGAGCTGTTTAATCTCGCTGAAATAAGTGATATCATTATCGAGGCTAATCAAATAATCAGTTATATTTATTCATATATGTTTCGTTCTGGATCTTAACAATACAAACTAACTATCCAAAACTCTTGCAAAAGAAGTTCTCATGAATTTTGATCAAATATAACAATAAATAAATGAAATTATCAAAGCATACTTTTTGGTAACACATTTAACAGTTATTAACCTTATTTTTGGGCAAGCAAACCATAGAATAGTATTGATATTGCAAACTGGTTAGGGAATATTCGACTAAGAAATAGCTAGACACTACCAAATGCGTACAGCTGTGATGCTTCTCAATGACTCCAATGATCGTTATTTGACCTTCTGGCAAATGAGAAAGTCAAAATACCCATATCTGTATATATATGCCTAATCAGTTGTGGTTAAACTAGTCCGTTTGAAATTAATCGAAGCGAAAAGCAATATTGATTTAGAAAAAACAAGAAATTCGTTTTTATTTTGCTTTTTTTTTTTCGTTAAAAAAATACCTTAACTAATATACTTCACAGGGACATATCAACATTCAGTTTCACAAATACTCTTACACGTACTTAAAATGGTGTCACTAGACTAATACATCGGTCTATCTATCGATCTACGCTCGACTGGGTCAGTTGCTCTTTGACCGTGCGACGCATCACTTTGCCGCTGGCTGTTACGGGCAGATCGTTGGTGAAGTAGACGCCTCCATGCAGCTGCTTGTGGTTGACCACGAACCGCTTGGCCACATGCTGTTTGACCTGGTCGGCGGTCAAGGAGCTGCCGGGTCGCTTGACTATCATGGCAGCGGGCGCATCGCCGTACTTTTCGTCATAGAGGCCCACGACACACACCTGGACGACATCGGGCAGCTCGCTAATGACGGCTTCGATATCGTTGGGCGAGTATTGCATGCCCAGGCACTTGTAGATCTCCTTCTTGCGGTCCACAATATACA